TATATTTTATTGATTTTTACAGAGAGGAAGGGAGAGTGATAGAGAGAAACATCGACCAGCTGCCTCCTGTACTCCCCCCACTGGGGATGTGCCCGCAACCAAGGAACATGCCCTTGACAGGAATCCAATCTGGGGCCCTTCAGTCTGCAGGCCGACGCTCTATCTATCCACTGAGCCACACCGGTTAGAGCTCTCATGATGAGCCTTACTTTGCAAAAGCAGTTTGAGGATCAGCCCTCGCCTGACCTTTGAGCAAAAGCCGACTTCCTCCACAACCCCTTTTCCTAGACATGCCCTTCAAGACATTTTCACCTCAGGATGGAACTCCATTTCTGGAGGAGGCCAGAAGCAGGCTGTGTAGTCAGTGAAGGAAAGAGTGCTGAAATGAGGCTGCCAAGTTCCATGCAAACCCAACCTCGTTGATGCCCTCCTGTCCAATGAACCCAGACCTTGGGAGTTCTCACTGTAGTGAACGGGGCTCATTTTCATCCATGCCAGGCCCAAAAAAATCGTGTTTTTTTTTTTTTAATTTACCTATCTTCTATAAAGCAACGCTAAATATGCAAGGTTTCTCTCCACTCCAAAGGATTAAGGTGGATTGTTATACTACGTCCTAGTGCAGTGGTCGGCAAACTCATTAGTCAGCAGAGCCAAATATCGACAGTACAACGATTGAAATTTCTTTGGAGAGCCACATTTTTTAAACATAAACTTCTTCTAACACTTCTTCTTCAAAACAGACTCACCCAGGCCGTGGTAGCTTGTGGAAGAGCCGCACTCAAGGGGCTAAAGAGCCGCAGTTTGTGACCACAGCGCTAGTGTGAGATGGGAAGGGCAGATAATCTTTCCTAATGCATTTAAGGAGAAAAAAAAGGCTGTCCAAAGGCAGATACCACAAATTAATCTTGAGTTGAAGACATTTTCTGTTAATTCATTTGTTTTACTTTTCTATCCTTCTCTTCTAAAAGACAATAAAGGCGTAAATGATCTGGAAAGCAATCGCTGAGGGGAGGTCACAGCGGGAGAGACGGGCCTGCGGGTGAGCTGCGAGGCTGGGTTAGAGCCTGGACCCTCGGCCAGCAGTGGGACCCGGACCGTGGTTGTCCTGGGGCAGGAGATAGCTCAGCCGGCTTGTAAGGAGGAAGTGCAGGCGGTACGGGCAGTGCCTGAAGGGGAGAGAGAGGAGGAGCAGGAAGACTGCGATGAGGGGGTGGGAATGCAGAGCTGGGGGGAGGGTTTGGATTTTGTTTTGTTTTAAGATGAGAGGAACTCAGGGATATTTATAGACGGTGAGGAGGAACCCAGAGAACACAGAAGATGCTAACAAGATCCGCGTGGGACGGGAGGGGGAGACCCAAGCACAGGAGGTTGTTCTAAAAGCCCACTTTCCTAGTGACCCTGGTGCACTTCTTGGGCCCACAAATTCTCCCTGTGACTTTGAATTACTGACCGTAGTTAATTGTTTGGACTAGGGGTGTCGAACTCAATCAGAGAAGGGGCCGAAATCTAAAATCCAGCCTAAATCGCTGGCCGAATGGTTTACTGAACAGTCATAAACTGTCATTGTGATGAAAACGCAGCGGAGTGCAGTGATGACAGCGCGGTGCGGGCCACATTGCAAGGCCTGGTGGGATGGATTTGGCCCGCGGGCCTTATGTTTGACACATGTGGTTTGGACGATGTTAGTGGGGCCAAAACACACACACACACACACACACACACACACCACAATAAACCAAAGTCCCAAACATAAAAATATAAAGTAAAAACCAATGGATCAGTTCCCAGAGCACAAATGACAAAACAATAGGTTCAACTCTGTAGACTTGGAAAAGTCGTTTGCAACCTTGAGTTATTAGGGCAGGTCTGCATTTGAGGTTGCACTTGGAACTTAGGGAAGCAAAGACAGAAATTCGTTACACTTACTTCCAGGACAAACTCCCCCCATCAAAAACCCCCAGGGAGGGATGATTCCCGCCCCCACCCCAGGAACCCACGTAGTAGACCTGAACGGAGCTGCAGTGTCAGGGTGTCACTGCAGGAGTCTTTCTCCTCCTACGGATATTAAAAGCGCGTTGGCTTTCACACGTCTTTTCACGTGTTTAACCTGCAGTCTGATGTTAAGGAGCTTTTGGTTTTAGATGTCGTTTTCAGGGATGATGGCAGGGCTCCATCCTTCAAACAGTGGGGCAAGGGGGCAGCATTCTGAGACTCTTAGAAGCTTGATCGGGCCTGGCAGGCGTGGCTCAGTGGTTGATCTTCGATCTGTGAACTAGGAGGTCACAGTTCAATTCCTGGTCAGGGCATAGGCTCGGTTGCAGGATCTCGCAGGAGGCAGCCAGTCAGTGATTCTCTCTCATCATTGATGTTTCTCTCTCTCTCACCCTTCCCCTCAGACGTCATAAAATTTTTTTTTTTAAAGAGAAAAAGCTTGGTTCTGCAGCAAAATTGACGAAAAGTGGCAAGAGGTAGGTACAGGGGAGCCTGGTGCACTGGGGAGAGAAGAGGGGTCTGATAGGGCACGTGGCAGAGGGGCAGAGAGCCGGCCAGAGCGCACATGGCTGGGTGACTCGGTTCCAGCCGAACAAGAAAGCGGCCCTTCTCCCTGCCTGCCTTCCGACGCTGAGGGGGCTGCAGGCAGGCTCGCTCTGCGGGTGGCGGAGGTGGGCCGAGTTTGCCTTCCATCGCTGATATTCAGGTGACAGAGGCGAACCCTCAGTCCTCAAACTCGGGGGCTCACCAAGATGGCCTGAGAGGTTGGTGTGTGTGTGTCCAGGATGGCTTTGGAGGGACTCCGGCAGCAGAGGGTCTGGGAGGGGGGATGTGGTCGCATAAAGAGCCTCGGGACAGCAGGAGGAAGCAGCAGGCACTGAGCTCGGAGGGGCTGAGAGCCACTGGGAGCCAAATAGGCAAGCAGCACAATCCGTTACATTCTGGGAAGACACCGTGGGGCAGTGTGTCCGGGGCCTGCAGCACCAGGAATGAAGGAGCCAGCAGCCTCTTCTGGATAAGCCTTAGTTAGACCAGCACCCTGTCTGGATGGCCATAATCCCAGCCAAAATGGGAAGGGACATAGGCGACGCGGGGCCCACTTCCCAGAGGAGGCCCCAGCTGAGCCGTGAGCCGTGGGCTGAGCTGGGGAGGGTTGGTGGGTGCAGAGGGACAGAAGAGGGCGGGAGTGGCTCAGGTGGGGGAATAGGAGTGGATGGGAGGGAGTCACACCGGAGGTGATTGGGCAACAAGAACACAGAGGTCCTCTGGCTGCCTAGCAGATGGATCAGGGTCCCCCATGGGGCTGCTTGCTGGGAGCCAGGCCTGAAGAGGGGAGATGGGGTTTGTGCTGGTCACGTGAACGTGCTCGGCTCAGCCCGAAGCCCTCCTGCCGAGTGAGGAAGTGGTGACTGTGGGTCACTAACATTTGGAACCAAACGCCCCTTTACATGTGGACGATAGCTGCACCCCGTAGGAAGGCCCTCGTTTTCTAGGGGTGCCTTAGGGGGACCCACACGGGCAGAAGAGGCCAGAGTAGCTGTGGAAGGGAGGAGGGACACGGATTCCCCCCAACCCCCACCCAAAAACCCCAAAGCTGCCGGTGGGTCTCCTCCAGCCATCTCCTCTGCTGTGGCTGCGTGTCCAGGGTGGCAGCCGTGTTCTGGTGCCCAGCTCTCCCTCCCTCTGGGGGGTCAGAAATGCTGTCCTCTGCTGGGGTCCTCACAGCCCTCCCCACACCGCAGGTCCCAAGGACAGGAGGCAGAGGCCGTGTCTAGAACATTCCGGGACGGGATGTTGAGGACAGGTCCAAGAAGGGTGCCTCAGGGGTGTCCAGCGGGCCAGCAGCTGCTGTGCAGATGGGCACATGGAGGCAGGCCAAGGACACCACCGAGGACACCTGGCAGCATGGAGCACCGTGGGGACCGAGCTGTCCCTCCAGCCCAGGCAGGATGGCTCAGTGGTTGAGCATACATCTATGAATCAGGAGGTCAATTCCAATCAGGGCACGTGCCCAGTTCTGAGCTCAATGACTAGAAGGGGGCACACAGGAGGCAGCTGATCAAAGTTTCCATCATTGATGTTTCTCTCTCTCCCTCTCCCTTCCTCTCTCTCTCTCTCTCTCTCTCTCTCTCTCTCTCTCAAATAAACAAAAATATATTGCCCTAGCCCAGTGGTCGGCAAACTCGTTAGTCAACAGAGCCAAATACCAACAGTACAACGATTAAAAATTTTTTTGAGAGCCAAATTTTTTAAACTTGAACTTCTTCTAATGCCACTTCTTCAAAATAGACTCTCCCAGACCGTGGTATTTTGTGGAAGAGCCACACTCAAAAGAGGCCAGAGAGCTGCATAAGGCTCACGAACCACAGTTTGCTGACCACTGACCTAGCCGATTTGGCTCAGTGGATAGAACTAAAGAGTCCTGGGTTCGACTGGGGTCAAGGGCACAGGCCTGGGCTGTGGGCTCTATCCCCAGTAGGGGGTGTGCAGGAGGCAGCCAACCCTCTCAACATTGATGTTTCTCTCTCTCTCTCTCTCTCTCTCTCTCTCTCTCTCTCTCTCTCTCTCTCTCTCTCTTCCCTTCTCTGAAATCAATGAAAAATAAATAAAAAAAATTTTTTTACCGACCTATGAACCAGGAGGTCACGGTTCAATTCCCCATCAGGGCATATGCCTGGGTTGCAGGCTCGATTCCCAGTAGGAGGTGTTCAGGAAGCAGCTGATGGGTGATTCTCTTTCATCACTGACGTTTCTCTCTCCCTCTCCCTTCCTCTCTGAAATCAATAAAAACATATTAAAAAGAAGGAAAACAAAGTGCAGCTGTGACTGTCCAGGGAGGGAGCTGAGGGGTGGGGTCTAGGTGGTAGCCTGCAGCAGGTGGGAGGCCCAGGGTCCATCGGGTATCAGGGAGCCAAGGCCCCGGGCAGGGCGTGAGGGCCGAGAGGCTCCCTCCAGAGGCGGGGGAGAGAGTCAAACACGGGCAAGGAAAGAACTAGAAGCCAGAGGGGTGAGGTATAAAAATCTGTATTTATATTACAAAGACAGACGGTACAGCACAGCCCCTCCCGTGAGCAGTGGATGAGTGACCCCTCTCTCCAGTGAGCATCTCTAATGTGCCCACCTGGCCAGCACCAGGCCTCCGGGCAGCCCAGACCCTGGCACGGAACCTGCCCTCGTGCCCTGGATGTGGACCGGGGTCAGTCCTATAAGCACAGAGGCGGGGAGGGGGCCCCGGTTAGCTGGCCCCGAGAGGAGGAGGGAGTAGGGAGTGGCGGAGCCTGCCTCGCCCAGCAGATGGGGATTACCTGGGCAGACAGGAGGGGGGGCCCTTGGGGCCATGGTCGGGCACAGGGCTCCATCTGCCCAGGAAGGAGGCTCGGGCACTGGGCCTCTTACACCGAATATGCAGAGGCGGCCCAGGCTCAGAGGGGGAGCTGCCAGCAGCCTCCCCGGCCAGCTGGACCCACCCTGCGGTGGTGGCCAGGAGGGTGGGGGCCACTGAGCCTGGGGTTTAAAGATTTCAGCCACCCAATGCCAAAGTGGCCCGCATGGGCATGGGAGGGCACACGAGAGGGTGCGGGCACCCCTGGGGGCCCAGTGCTGGTCACGCTCGCTTTATGGAGCCCGGACAACGCTGAGGTGTGCTCTCAGCAACCCAGCAGGCCTCAGCAGGGCCTGTCTGGGCACCATGGCCACCCACCAACCGGCCTGGGCACATGCGGGGAGCTGGAGGGAGGGCAATGGATGTAACTCCGAGCACCCGGCCTGTCCCCAAGGGCCACCCCTCACGTCTGCAGGTGCGGGCAGCACCCTGGTGGCCAGCAAGGCCAACTCCCGGACCCCTTGGGAACCACGGCTGAGGAGCCATGGGTGGAGCTGCCAGTCAGGTGGGTCGAGGGCCAGGGCTGGTCACGGGACAGGACGCTGTGGCAGAGGCGGGAGCAGAGCCTCCACAGGTGTAGGGGTGGGTGGGGAGCTGATGCTGTAAGAGGTCAGGGCCGTCCCTGGGGTGGACTTGCGGGGGCTCCTGCCCTATCGCCCGGAGGACACGCTCAGGCAGACGGGCGACGCCTCCGGGGGTCCAGTTCACCCGGAAGGAGGTGCCAGCAGACGGGTTTTCCTATGACCCCAGACCCGACCCCATGGGCCCACGTGCACCCACCATCCCGAGCCTCGGAGGGCAGGTTCTGTGCCAGACGGACGTGTCTCCAGGGACCCCTTTCTGCCTCGGCTAGGCCACCCGCGGGGGTGTCCGCCGGCAGGACGGGAGACACATGTGGTTGGCAAAGTGGTTACAATGCACCGGAGAGCGGGGAGACAGGCTGTGGGCTGGCCCCACCGCCCGCCTCCTGAGTATTGCTGTGCGGTCCCTGGGGACGAGGACTTAGAGTGAAAGGCCTGACCCCGAAGCCATCTTCATCAGCTGCCAATGTGGGAACCAGCCCTTGCCTTGGGCAGGGGGCCGGGGGTTCAAGCTGGTGAGACCCTAGGTCTCTGTGAGCAGGCCGTCCGGACTGGAGGCCACGCTGCACAGCAGGGCGACATGGGGATCCGGTCACAGCTCCTCCCGCCAGGGCGACAGAGAGCAGCCCTGACCAGGAGGCGGGGAGCCGGGAGGACACCTGCCGGGCACGGGGGAGGGAGATGCTGGTGGCGGCGGCCGGGGCGGGGCCTGACACAGGACACAAGGCACACTCGGACAGTGGTGACGGACGGACCAGTCCCTGAGACGCTGGGTCACTCCCCCCTCCGCAAACAGCGCGCCACGATTAGGAAAATAGAGTACAAAAATCTGGTTCGGGAGACAGAGGTGGCGTGGGCAGCCCGCCCGAGTCCTCGGAGCCGCCCCTCCCCACCAGCCCGGCCTCCCGCAGCCTCGCCCGGCCTCAGGCTCTCCCGGCCTTCCTGTGAACCGGAGGCCAGCGGTCCCGAGGCCCTGCGCCCGGAGCACACCGAGCAGCCTGAGGAGGCACCTCCCGGGGGAGGGGAGCCGGGCACAGGCAGGGCCACTGCTGCCCGGTGACCCCGGGGTCCCAGGCACCGCCGGGTCCAGAGGCCACATGTGCGTGCGTGTGCACGTGTGCAGGCGGGAGGACATGACGAGGTGCGTGCATGTGTACACCTGAGGTACCTAGCGAAGCCGAAGCTGCCCGGGGGGTGGGGGGGGCCTGGCCTGCCCCGGGAGCCCAGCCCGGGCTCCGGACACCCTCAGGGTACCAAGGCCCTTCCCCGCCCCTGCCCGGGGTGCTCACCGCGTCCCGCCTCATGGCTCTCTCTGACCAGGCTTCAGGAGCCTACGTGGACGACGGACAGATGGACAGATGGACGGAGAGCCACGCCTTCCTTCCTTCCTCAGTCCACTCCTTCCTCCTGGGGCCGGGGGTGGGGTCGGAGCTGCCCACGTGGTCAGTAAGCCCCTCACACGGCGCCCGCCGAGGTTTGCAGCAACGACATTTAATACTTCTGGAATGATTAGGAATCTGAGAACAGACCGTGGGTGGCTACGCTGGACTCCGGAGCTCGGGAGCTGGGCCCGCTCCCTGCAGGGGTCCCTGCCCGGCGGGGAGGGGCGGGCGGCGAGGTGGCCCTGACCGGCGGGCGGGCGGGCGGCAACCCCGGAGCTGCGGAGCTTCCCAAGTGGCACAGCAGTGACCCAGAGGCTGAGGACCGGAGGGTGGCGTACGTGGCTGGGCGGCAGGCAGGCCGAGGAGCCGAGGGCCCGGGCCTACGAGAGGCCGGGGCGGGCCGGCCGGCGGCGGCGGGGGGGCCCGTAGCCGCCGTCGCTCTGCAGGCTGTAGTGGTCGTCCACGTCGCTCCCGCTGCCCACGCTGTCCAGCTCGCCGGGGCCGAACTCCATGCCCTCCACGTCCACCTCTGGGGAAGCAGGGAAGACGGGTCGGGCCCTGAGGCTGCCAGCCGGGCTCCTGGCAGTCAGGGCAGGTCTCTGCCTCTGGGGGGGACAGAGGCTCCAGGGGAGACGGCGCAGGTCTGGGCCTCGGCCCCGGAGCACACGGCCTCGGGGGGCAGGTCAGCCGCCCCCTCCTCCTGTAATCCCCGCACGCACGCACGCACGCACGCCAGGTGTCCGGACAGCCCGGGGACACGCAGTCACCAGCACCCGCTGCCCACTGCCATCACCCCACGCCCTCAGGCCGCCTCCTGGCCGCCCCACCCCCGGCCCCACCCCGCGGGCTGCGGGAGGCTGCGCCCACCTTGCTCCGAGTCGTCGGTGGAGACGGCGGAGCCCGTGCTGTCCGTGCGCACGCGCTCCAGGCTCTGCACCGACAGCTGCTCCAGGCGCCGCTTCAGGAAGCGGTGCTCCCGCTGCAGCTGCTCCTTGATGCTCAGCGCCCTGCGGTCCTGCTCCTCCAGTTTCTGGAGGCGGGGGAGCCGTGAGCCCGGGGACGCCCCCTGTGGGACCCGGCAGGGGGCACCGAGGTCCGGGCAGGTTCCCCGTTCCCCACTGGCCTGGGTCCGGAGCCCCAGGGCCCCGACGGTGATATGCCCTGGCCTCAGCCCTCCAGGTGGTCACGTTAGGTCCCACCTCCCACCAGCCAGAGCCCCACAGCCACCAGCCAGTGTGGCCCACCAAGCCCCTGGGGAGCCGGACGCCCTGGGACAGCGCCACCAGGCGGGCTGGCACTTCCTCCCAGAGGACAGCACTGCCACCGTCTCTCTCCCCGCTCACAGGGCACCCACAGGCCCTCCTGGTCCCTTCCCCTCGCCACACCCTCCCCTGAGCCCCTGAACCAAGCCTGCCCGCTTGGACGGCCCCCGGGCACCCTGCGCCTCTCACAGCTCCCATTACCCTGCCTAGGGTGCCCAGGACTCTATGCCCCAGGGCCCCTGCGAGGGAACTAAGACCACCCTGGTTGGCCCATGTACCACAGGACCCCAAAGCCTGGGGTCTCTGTCTCAGACCTTGGGGCCTGCCCCAGGCAATGCCTCCTTCAGCCACACCCATGACCAGCCTGGTCCCCAGAAGCCCCCCCACCACTGGGCACCTGCTTCCCGCGGGCCTCCCAGCATCAAAGGCACCCTGCCCTCCTGGCCCCACCTCCGCAGCCCAGGCCCCGGAGGGCCATCTGTCACCCTCCCCCCATCTCCCCAACAAAACCCAGCGCGTGCCCATGACATCCTCACCCCTTGGCAGCCCCTGGAGCTGCCCCCTCACCCCCCAGCGTGCACCTGCCGAGCAGCCCCACCACCCTCGGGCCGTGGGCCTGCTTCCAGGTGCACAGGGCTGGACGGGGCCAGCCACGCCGGGCAGGGCGGGGGCGAGGGCAGCCCTGCTCACCTTGATGTGCGTCTTGGCGCGCTTCAGAAGGCTCAGTGTGGTGTGGCGGGTGCTGTCGGGGCCCAGGGGCACCAGCTGCTTCAGCTGTTCCAGGTAGAGCCTGAGCTTGGCTCGTCTGAAAGGGCCAGAGAGACAGTCAGGCCGGCCGGGCCCCGGCAGCGGCTAGCCTCCCCCGGCCTTGCTGAGGGCCCTGTCCCAGCTGCCGCAGCCCCAGGCCTCAGGGCAGACCCATGCACGGCCTCCGGCGCCCCAGCAAAAGAGGACCCGTGGCCAGGGCACTGCCCGAGCACCCAGCTGTCACCATCTCCACTGCGGAGCTGGGCAGGGGATAGCCTGGGGGGGGGGCAGCCTGGAGGGGGGCAGCCTGGAGGGGGGGCAGTCTGGAGGGGGCGGCAGCCTGGAGGGGGGGGCAGCCTGGAGGGGGAAGCCTGGGGGGGCAGGGGGACAGCCTAGAGGGGGGCAGGGGGACAGCCTGAAGGGGGAAGCAGCTGGAGGGGGGCAGGAGCAGCCTGAAGGGGAAGGGGGCAGCCTGGAGGGGGGTTATGGTCAGCTGCCCAGAGATCCAGGGCCTCAGACTTACGCCCCCACCTGGCCAGGTGCGGAGTGCTCACTGGCCACTCTGCCACCACAGAAACATGAGCCCATTTGGCCAGGGAGGTGGAGGCCTGGATCCCCCGCCCAGCTGGCATCCCGCAGTGGGGAGGGACTGCTTTCCTCCAGAGTTCGCCATCTCCATGCAGATGAGGGCAGTTTCTCCACAAAACTGGAGCACAGGGCTCAGAGGTGTCAGGCCCTCAGGCCTCACACCCCCATATCCACGCCCCCAGACACTGCCCGTCCTGCTCATCCAGTCCGGGGCCGCGGCCCACCCTAACCCGATGGATGCCACCCGTGGGCCTCCCCTGCCCCGCACCGCGCAGGCCACCCTGTCTGGAGCAGAGTGGAGAGGCCAGGGGCCCTGGGAGCACCCACCCCGCATGCTCCCCCTTTCACCTCTGTGACCCCAGCCCACTGAGCCCAGACCCTGGGAGGAGGGCGCCCGCAGCCCGGCCTTGTCTGTCACCCCGTCCACACGGGACCCGTCACCCCGTCCACACGGACCCGTCACCCCGTCCACACGGACCCGTCACCCGTCCACACGGACCCGTCACCCCGTCCACACGGGACCCGTCACCCCGTCCACACGGACCCGTCACCCCGTCCACACGGAACTGTCACCCCGTCCACACGGGACCCGTCACCCCGTCCACACAGAACTGTCACCCCGTCCACACGGGACCCGTCACCCGTCCACACGGACCCGTCACCCGTCCACACGGACCCGTCACCCCGTCCACACGGACCCGTCACCCCGTCCACACGGACCCGTCACCCCGTCCACACGGGACCCGTCACCCCATCCACACGGACCTGTCACCCCGTCCACACGGGACCCGTCACCTCGTCCACACGGACCCGTCACCCCGTCCACACAGAACTGTCACCCCGTCCACACGGGACCCGTCACCCCGTCCACACGGGACCCGTCACCCTGTCCACACAGAACCGTCACCCCGTCCACACGGACCCGTCACCCCGTCCACACGGGACCCGTCACCCGTCCACACGGGACCTGTCACCCCATCCACACGGACCTATCACCCCGTCCACACGGGACCCGTCACCCCGTCCACATGGAACCCGTCACCCCGTCCACACGGACCCGTCACCCCGTCCACACGGGACCCGTCACCCCGTCCACACGGACCCGTCACCCCGTCCACACGGGACCCGTCACCCGTCCACACGGGACCTGTCACCCCATCCACACGGACCTATCACCCCGTCCACACGGGACCTGTCACCCCGTCCACACGGAACTGTCACCCCGTCCACACGGACCTGTCACCCCGTCCACACGGAACCCGTCACCCCGTCCACACGGGACCCGTCACCCCGTCCACACGGACCCGTCACCCCGTCCACACGGACCCGTCACCCCGTCCACACGGACCCGTCACCCCGTCCACACGGAACTGTCACCCCGTCCACACGGACCCGTCACCCCGTCCACACGGGACCCGTCACCCCGTCCACACGGGACCCGTCACCCTGTCCACACAGAACTGTCACCCCGTCCACACGGACCTATCACCCATCCACACGGGAACTGTCACCCCGTCCACACGGGACCCCCTGCAGACGGAGCAGCGCCCCATCGGGCACCCTGGGGCCTGGAAGTTCTCCCGTGAAACCAAGTCAGGAAGCAGGGCAGAGGCTGTGCCGGCTCAGCCACCGGGCCAGGAGCAGCCGGGCCTCGGCAGCCACCCTGCGGCCGGCGGTGTGCCGAGCAGCCGGCTCTGTCTCGAGCTGGGACCCTCAGAGGGCCGTGGCCCCCCACGTGGCGCAGGGCTAGAGAAGGGCTCACTAGGTGGGCGCCTCTGGGCCCCAGAGGCTGCGCACAATCCCCCGCCCCCCGGGTCCGAGGACTTCGCCTCCTCACTGCTCAGGGGCCAGCGAGCTCGCCCCGTGGGCAAGGGGGGTGCCCTCGTCCACTCTTCGGGGACAAACGGCAGTTCTTACAACCTCCCGTTACCCTCTGCAGCCAGGGCCGCCTGAATGTGGGGGACATCCCTCTCGGCCATGCCTACGATGCCTGTCAACCCTTCCTGAGCTCCCCACTGGCCTCGGCAGGGCCAGACCACAGGGCACTCCCCACCCCGGCTTACACACTCAGGGTGTGGCCTTGGTGAAAACGAGCAAATGCAAGTCAGCAGGAAAACGTAAGTGGAAAAGTACCCCCACAACACTCCACAGCACCGTCCTCCCCGATGTCCTACGTGTGCCCCCTCGGGAGGCGCGGGAGGAAGCCGCCGACACGGTGAGCACGGACACAGCAGACGCACACAGAGACTGGACAGGACACAATGAAGAGCAGGAGGCACCGTCTCCAGGGAGGCGTTGGCAACGTTTATTTCTCTGGCTCTGCGCTTGGTGTGTGAGTGTGTGTGTGTGTGTGTGTGTGTGTGTGTGTGTATTCCAGGTTTTTTAGGCTAAAAAAAGCCATGTTACTTTTACAATCAGAAAAAGACACATTGGTACAAGAAAGAAAAAACACAGCTAAAAGACAAATAACAGTGGAGAGATATCGGCCATACATACAAACGACAAACGGTTAGCGCCCGTGACATCGGAGCTTGTACACAGCCAAACAAAAGGAGGGGTCTGGGGTGTGAAACAGGGCAGACGATACAAACAGGCACGGAGCGAACAGACACGGCTGGCCGGACACAGAGCCCTGGACGCCTGGAGGCGGCACCAGTTCGGTGGAAACGGGGCGGTGACTCTCGTGGGCCCCGCAGGCGTCGCTGGCGGGAGAGGGGGGTCCCCCAAAGGCCGCCGCAGCGCCTCAAACATCTACCGCACGTTCCTACTCCAGGTGGGTCCCACAGAGCCACCTCCGGGGGGACAGTGGGAGCCAGAGGCCAGGCGAGGAGCCGGGGACAGCTGTCTGTCCCACGGCACCAGGACAAGGAGGGGGGGAGCCTGGGCGGGGGCAGTGGGGGGCAATGCTCAGGTATGTCAGGTGAAAGGCCCAGCGAGGAGCAGCGGATAACAAGATCGGCTCTCACCCAGGTCAGTGTGCGCCTGGCGGGGAGGCCTGGGACAGCTGGGGGCGGGACTCAAGGGAGGTCCCTGAGCATCCACGAGGCAGGCATTTCTTTAGAGACAGAGAGAGGCGCCCCCCACCACCAGCTCCACCACGCCTATACTGTGTCGTGCTTATGTGCCCACTGGTGCCAGGAGGGTTGGCTGTGGGGCCCTGGGCAGGTCCCTGTGTCCCATCCCCGCAGGCCGTGGGCATCCCCAGGTCCACTGGCGGGCGGTACCAAGATCCCACAGCCTGGGCTGCGCGGGAGTCACTGCATCCTGTGAACAGCCCTCCGTCCCTGCAGCCGCCACAGCCCAGTCCTGACCGGCCCTTCCTAGCTCCTCCCCGTAAGCCCTGCTCCTCCAAGGAGGCCCCGAGCTGCATGGAGGGTCCACCAGCCCGAGGGGCTGGTCCCAGCCGTCTGTGCTCTGAGCACCGCAGGCCTGGCTGTCCCAGAGGGAAATGCACGGGGGGGTTGGGGGGAAGATGAACATGCCCGTTCTCCCCTCTGTTCAGCTGCGTTCTCTAGCTGTGAGGTGCATGACGACTGCCTGTGGCTGCCCGGGAGGACCCCCCCACCCTGCACTCCATGGGGGGAGAGGTGGCAGGGTCTGACTGGGGGCCTGGGCCAGCCTTTGGGGTGAGCCCCGCCGCTCCTCACTTGCCAAAGCTCAAGCCCGTCAGGGAACACGTGGCCTCCAGGACGGCAGGCCTCCGGGGCCGGTGGCCAAGCATCAGCCTCAGACGCACCGGAGCCCTGGGCGGCAGGAGGAGGGCCGGGCCGGCTGGGGTGGCGGCTCAGAGCAGGCCCCGCAGGGCACGCCGCGGGGGGAGACGTCCACGCCGCCCCGGGGAGCAGCGGGGCGCCCCCGCCAGGGCTTCCTTCCTTCCTGAGGACAGGACGGCACTCGGCCCTGCCTGCGGCCGGTGCCAGGCGCATCTGGCGTCAGCGCCGGCAGCCGCAGGTACAGCTGAGGCCGAGGTCCCCGCCAGGATCCCAGGCTCCGGGCCCGTGGGCTCCCCGGGGCCGTGCACACCTGCCAGCTGGCCAGGCCGCCTGCCCATCCTGCCTCTGTCTCAGAAGGGGCCCACGAGGCTCAGCCTAAGGGCGGGCTCTGGAACAAGGTGTCCGAGGCCAAGGTCAGGGGTCAAAGCCCTTGTCCTCCTTGGAAGAGCTACCATGCCTTTGCCCTCTCCGTCCCCCGTGTCATCCCTTCTGTCTGTCCGCACTGAGGGCTGGCCTAGGCACCCCCCAGCAAGCCTTCCCCAGAGCACCCCGCCTGCCGCCTAGGCTCCCAGGTCCCCGTCCGGGCCACCCCCCCAGCCTGGCAGCAACCGCGGCCCGCGGGCTGTCTGGGCCCTGCACCTGCCCCACCTCCATGGCCTTGGAGCCCCTCACGCGCACACACACACAGGGCCAGTCCAGGAAGTGCAGCTCCTCCAGAGAACACGGTGTCCTGTCCCTACCCGGCACCCGCCCAGAGCAGGCCCGGTCCCGGGGGAGCGAGAGTTGGCGCTGCCTTGGCTGTGGAGGGGGAGGGGGTGGGGACAAAGAGACCTGGCCTCGCTCCAAACCTTCCCAGAGCAGGCCGGGAAGGTTCAACTGGAATGCAGACCCCCCCCCCAACTCCAACCCAAGGAGGGAGGAAAGAGCTGGCCCATTGCACAGATGAGAGCAAAGGTCAGGAGACAGCTTCTACAGAGTCCCTGGGGCTCGTCCCTGGTCCTGGCAGCAGGGCTCTTGCCTGGGGGACCTCTGTGCCTACACACGCCCCTGAGATCAGCCCAGAGGGCACCGCATGCAGAGGCCACGCGTGCCCGTGCCTCATCCCCACTGCAGAGCAGGGCCGAGGTCACAGAGGTCACAGAGAGCCCGTGGCCAGAGGGAGCCCTGCAGCCAGGCGGCAGCCAGGGCATGGACGCCCGAGAGGGGAAGGTGTGGGCTCGGGGGACAGGCTGAGCGAGGAGACTCCATGGTGACCCACTGCCCTTCCTGCTTCTCAGGGACCAAGGCCCCTCCTCCAGGAAAACCTGGACCCTGTGGACCAGGGGGTGGGCATGAGGTGGCTCTCGGGTTCCATCCTGGGCCCACGTGGCTGGGGACTGGCTGCCTGCCCCACTGCCCTGCAGACAAGCCTCTGGCAGGGGGCCCCAGGGGCAGGGGGTCCCAGGGGCAGGGGGTCCCAGGGGCAGGGGGTCCCAGGGGCAGGAGGTCCCAGGGGCAGGGGGTCCCAGGGGCAGGGGGTCCCAGGGGCAGGGGGTCCCAGGGGCAGGGGGTCCCAGGGGCAGGAGGTCCCAGGGGCAGGAGGTCCCAGGGGCAGGGGGTCCCAGGGACAGGGGGTCCAAGGGGCAGGGGGTCCCAGGGGCAGGAGGCCCCAGGGGCAGGGGGTCCCAGGGGCAGGAGGTCCCAGGGGCAGGAAGGGGCCCCAAATCAAGAGGCTGACCCCGCTGGGCAGAGGCCAGCATTCTAAGGGCTGAAGGCTTGCCCCCAAACGGGCTTACATGCCCCAAAGCAGACGGATCTCCTCCGCCCGGGGGCTGGCCCAACTGCCACACAGCACACGGGACCCTGCCCCAGGTCCCCGCCCCCCGCCCCCCTGACCTGGCGCTGGACCCAGGCAGAGCCCCCAGGCCTGGGCCCACCCGGCCTCAGAGCCCGGCCTCCTCCTTCCAGAACAACACCCCACAGCCGGGTGGCAGGTGGGCCCTCCCCGGGCACAGTGAGCAGTGGGGGGGCCGCACAGCCCCCCAGCAGAGACTGGGGGTGGGGAGAGGGTCACTTACCTGTGCTTTTCTAGTTCGTTGTGTGAAGACCTGTTTAGAGAGACAGAAAACAGAGCTCACTGCTCTGCCATCCCCGGAGCACGGGCACCCGGGCAGGGAGGGCTGGGCAGGTGAGCAGCCGCGGGTCAAAGGCTGGGGAAACCCTGCACCAGGGACGGGGACGGGACCCTAGGAGGAAGCCATGTCCGGGGCTGCCCAGGGCCAGCTGGCTCGCCTACAGTGCGGCAGGTGAGGCCCTGGCTGCAGGAGGGTCCAGGTCCTGCTCTAGAAAGGGTGGGGGCCCAGGAGGCCGTGGCAGCCGGTCCTGGAGCCGACACCCCCCCCCCCCCGTGTCCCTGAGCCCCGTCCGGGCACTGAGCTGCCCGCCTTCTCTGCTCCCCACTCCCCGAGGCCAGACACCACCCCACCTGCTCAGCTCACACACGTGCTCACCACAGCCCTGTTCCAGCGAGACACCCAGGGACAGAGCGGACCCAGCCCCCGAGGGACCAGCCCCCGAGGGAACCTGAGATGTGCCAGGGGGCGTGGGGAGACCAAAGCCGGCCCTCCACTCCCCTCTGGGGTGCAGTCTGGCGAAGCGGCCACCCTGGGCCCGAGCTCAGAGGCCCCATCTGCCGCTCAAGCTCTCCCCCCGCCATCCACACAGGGACGCCAGTGGGCAGTGCCACGTCACCCTCCCTCCCCCAGTCCCGACAGGGACCTCTCGGGCCAGACGGGGCTCCCGGGCTGCCAGGCTGCCTCACATGTGAGCAGTGCGCCAGGCCACCTTGGGGCAGCCCAGCCCAGCCCCGTGCCTGAGCGTCTGCTGACCTCTGCCTGCCTGCCCTGTCTCTCCTGCTCCGGGACCTCGGCCAGGCATCGCCCGTGGAGCCGAGTGCCTCCCCATCCCACCCACCTCTGCCACCTGCCACCGCCACCTGGGCCCACGGCCTCCCTCCCTCCCTCCCTCCTGGCAGCAGGCTCCTGCGCCTCCGGTGCAGCCTCGCACTGGTTCCAGGGGCGGAGCGCCTGCTGGTCTCATGGGCCCGGCAAGGTGCCTCAGAAGCTCCCCCAAACTGGGAGGACCCGTCCGGCCTCAACCAGAGGGGCAGCGTGAGTCTGTAGGTGAGCCTGCGTATGGGGGATGCAGGGGTCACAGAGAGAAGCCCTCACGCCCACCCCTGGACCCCACCCTGCCAGGAGGGGACGCCTCAGGAGCAGAGGGTGGACAGGGGCCCAGAGCCCTCCTGGTCCAGACGCCGGTGGGAGCTTTGTGGGGAGATGGGTCCCAGGTCCCAGTGCACCCTGCTCTGGGCTATGCCTGCCACGTGGCCTGGGGGAGGAGGGCGCCCTGGCCAGGGCGATGCTGAACACACTCCTGGCATCACCTGGCTCGCCCATCCCTGGAGGTAGCATTTCTGCCCCGTTTCCTGTAGGACCTGACCCCTGGCCAGCTGGCTCTGAAAGCACTGGCTGGAGGCCCCACACCCTGCCCTCCCGCTCACCACCCAGGTGTGGGGATGTGCCACCAGGACAGGGCCCTGGGTCCTCTGGGCCCCGGTCTGCCCTCGCCCCTGTGCTGGGCTGGCTGAGGCCCATCTGGGCCACGACAGCTCCAGGGACCGTCCGTCTCCGGAGCCTCTGGAGCCTCAGGCACCGGGGAGTCAGGCTCTGGCCGTGGGAGGGCAGGGAGGTGCACCCCACTCCAGGAGACCCTCCAGGCTCCATCCTGGCAGAATGTGGGAGGCTAGGGAGTCCCAGGGAGGAGGGCGGCCAGCTCTGAAAACGGGATAAGATGCCATCTGCTCCGGGAGGGCGGTTATGAGCACAGCACGCAGGAGCACACAGAGCCTCGCTGTGATTCTGGTGATCCGCCTGGGCACCCTGTGCCACGGGCGTCTCACCCTGGAGTCTCCCCTGGGTGCAGGGCACGGGGGCCTGGCTAGCTCTCCGAAACCGGAGGCAGTGCCACCCCCAACACTCAAGTTCTTCCCCAGACTGCCCCAGGAGGGGACCAAGGTCCGGGGCGCAGGCAAGTCCCCAGCCACAGAGGATGGAGACTGAACCTGGTCCTTGCCAGGCCCAGGGCACCAGGATGGCACAGGTCCTGGTGCCAGCCTTTCTGCTTCTCCAGCTCTACCCATCTGGCCCACTCAGCCAGGGTCCACACCCTCCCCCAGGGGCCCCAAAGCCCCCCACCAGTGCAGCTCCCAGCCCGGTGACATCGGGCCAAGGCGGACCCTGGGCAGTGCCAGGTGTGCCATGGTCCTCACAGTGACCAGGAGAGGGGAACGCCACGGGAGCCGAGCTGAAGGCCCCCACTACCCCCACCCAGGGATTCGCGCTCCAGCCTCGGCGCTTCTGCCTCCTGGGTGGGGGCGGGGAGGCTTCCTGCGTTGGGAGAAGCTGCAGGGCCTGCCCCCTCTCCCCACCCCCTTAAAAAGGGCCTCAGGTGCCAGAGGGGACTCCAAAACTTGTCGCCGGGCTCCACTGTGTCCTTGCCGGGCGTGGACAGCGCGGGGGAGTGGGGTCAGGGCAGGGCCTCTGGGCACCCGCTTTGTCCGGGCCTCTGGAGGTGGGGGCCCTCTCGGGAGACAGAGGGGGGGTGCGGCCCATCCACGGGGCCAGCCGGTCAGGTGGCCAGCCCCACGCCGCGCTGCACCGAGCCTCAGTTTCCCCGGACCCACGGGGCCCCGGCCAACGCCCTCTGACAACTTTTTTCCTGCGCGGAAAAGTCCGTAACAACTTGGGGGCGGAGAGCGCCGCGGGAGGAGACCCCGGCGGCGCGGGCTGTACGCGTGGCAGTGTTTACGCGAGAGGCCGGGAGGCGCGGCCGCAGGAAGATGGCGACGGCGCGGGCGGGGCCGCCGGGCGGGGCCGGGCTGCGGCCGGGGCGCCTCCTCCTCCAGGCTGGCCGCCGGGGCGCGCGGCGCGGGCGGCGGGCGGCTGCGGGCCGAGGTCCGGGCCGGGAGGGGCCCTGGGGGCGGCGGACAGGGACGGCCGCGGGGGGGGGGGTACCTGTTGTTCGGAGCCTTGCGCACCAGGCCGGCGGCCTTTGTTTTCTTCCTGGCGAAGTCGCCGTCGAAGGGCAGCACCGAGGCGTAGCCGTGCTCGGCCTCTGCAGACAGACGGCGCGGTCAGCGGGCCCCGCCCCGGCCCCGCCGCCCGCCCGCCCGCGGCCCGGCGCACAAAGGGGCGCGGGCGCTACCTCGGTCCCTGCGCTCCAGGTACTCGGCCGCCTCCAGCAGGATCAGCAGGGAGTTCAGCTCCATCCTCCGGCCCGCCCGCGCGCGCTCCGGGACGGCGGCGGCCGCTGCCCGGCCCGCTCCGGCCGGCTCCGCTCGCCGCCCGCCCCGCGCGCCCCGCCGCCCCACTGCCCCGACTCCCGCGGGCTCCCAGGGCGCTCGGCCGCCACCCTCCGCTTCGGGCCCTCAAATTGACACTTGAGGGCGAACGGCGGCCGGCGCAGCCAATGGGGGGCGGCACTCGTGCTCCGGGGGCGGGCGCTGGCCCGGGACGTGGCCAATGAGAGCCGGCCGAGCGCCTCGGGCTGGGCCGAGAATGTTGACAGATGCGGAGCTGGGTTCGGATAGGCCCGCCGCACTAGTAACAATTTAGAAGCCCAAGCTTAGCAACAGCACGTGGTGGCCCGGCCCCCGCGCTCGCTGACTGGTGGCCGGCGTGCATGTTAAGTAGGTGCTGCGCGCCGATTGGCCCAGGGCGGCCTATGTAAAATAGGACCGCGGGCCAATGGCCGGCCGCGGGGCGCGCAGCCAATGAGGGAGCCGCGGCCGGACGTGTTGCCGAGAGGAAGCGGAGCGCGGTGGGACCGCAGGCCGCCTGGCCCTGCGCGCAGCCCGTTGGGACGCCGGGAGGGAGCGGCTGGACGCCGTGCCAGCCCAGGTCTGCACACCGTGCGCAGGGGGAGCCCGAGTCCCCAGAGCCGGCTCAGCCATGGCTCCGCGAGAGCACCGGGCCTGCGGCGGCCTCGGGAGATCGCGTGGAGCGGCCAGACTCTGAGCGACCGCAGGGGAGCCTGGTTGGAGGAGGGGCGCAGGGAGCCTAAGAGCAGATCTCCTGGAGGACATCAGCTGGACAACGGAGGCGGCAGTGTCTCTGAAGCGGCCAGTGGACTCCACAGCAAAGGGAGGAAGCAAAGATCTGCTGTCACGGTGGGGAGGGGCCCCCACGAGTGAGGCCTGCGTGCTCCCGTGTGTTGGGGACGCATTTCTAGAGGAGGAGCCAAGAAAGCACTTTCTGGGGAAGAGAGTGGCCTCACCAAGCTCCCAGCTGGCCATCAGCCCTGGTGCCCCTGGCCCTAAGCTGGCCCAGTCAGACCAGGGACTGGCCTCGGTACAGGGGACCGACCATGTTGCTGGTGGCTTGGCAGGTCCTGAGCATGGAACCAGCAGGCTGCCAAATGTGGGGAACAAGGTGGCTGGACCCCCTCCACACACAAACATTCTAAATTGGAGGCACTGCTGCTGCCCCAGTCTTAAAAAAAACATCTATCTGTATAAAACCTTAAAATGCAAATAGACCAGACAGCAGAACAACTGGTGGCTATGATGTGCACTGACCAACAGGGGGCGTGTGCAGAACATGGTGGGGATCAGCCCCAGCGGGATGGTGGTGTAGGTGAGTGGGAGGTGCCAGAAGGTGGAGCGCCTATTGCTGTCATCAGGGCTTACTGAAAATTCTTTGCTCCCACAAGCCATGGTCCTGCCTGGCACCGGCCCTGTTCCCACCCACTGCCAGTACCCAGCATCAGTCCCAATAATTTGGCCCAGTCAGTGGGTGCCAGCAGCAGCTGCTGTCCCCAATTGCCCCTGAGGGCTTCTCCACCTCCCCATGTTCCTAAGAGGCTATCGGGGCAGCAGCCGCTGCTGACACCCAGCGCTGGCCCCAACCGCTCCATGCCATCAGTGGGTGTGAGTGGGGCCCCCTGGGGGCCGTGGCAGGATGGGCCAGGCCAGAACACAGAGGATGGCCGAGACCTGCCCTTGTTCCTACCACAGCCTCCTGGCCCACAGTTCCTTTCAAGGTGCACGAATTCGTGCACTGGGCCCCTAGGAAAAACTATAAAGACCTGCGCACTTGTGGTCCTAGGACGCATTGCATTTCCTTCTGTATGTGTCTGCATCTCCAAGCCACAGATAAGGAAACTGGGAGTCCAGTGGAGTGGAGATGGGTGCAGGGATGGTGACACAGCATGCCGTGCTGGGGTGCCAGTGCAGCTGTGTGATGGGAAATGGGATTAGGACCGTGCACCCAGCAGAGGGCAGGGCCCTTGGGGCAGACATTAAACACCCCTTTGATGCTAACCCCGCACTTCCTGCTCCCGCACCACAGCCACCCCAGGGCCAGGGCGGAGCCCTGACAAGAGCCAGGCACTGTCCTCTCCGGTTAGTCTGTAGGGTGCTCAGGGTGCAGAGGAAAAGGGGGCGCCCAACTCTGGGAGGGGCGGTGTATTCTGGGCTTTGGGTCCCGGAGGCGGGGCCTGCAGTTCCCACTTGCTGGTCAGCATTCTGCGAGGCCACACCCCTGCGCCTGTGCCGGGTGGGCTGAAGGCACATCCCCGGGAGCGCACCTGCGGGATGCCGGCTCCCTCCTGAGGCGGGGGCAGGGTGGGGGCGACGGTGCACTCTGGGCCCCGCTGGCAGCGCAGTGACGGGGTGACCATGGGAGCCGCCTGGCCTGCGACCAGACGGGGTCGCTCCCACCTCGCCTCCATTTGCATCTAGGGGCTGGGCCAGAGGGCAGGAGCCTGGCGGGCAGAGCTTCCAGGTCCCAAGCGGAGGGGCAGCCCAGGAGATGGCCCTGAGCGGGCAGGAGTTAGGAAGGCGCAGGGGGCCCCATGGAAGACATTACTGTGGGAGGGGTGGGTACCAGTCTCGGGGGCCCGCAGTCTCCACCCCTGGCCCCACCTGGGAGCGGGGCATAGGCCTCGCAGAACTGCCCTGGGCCCGGTTCTGGATGAGGGTCAGCGGCAGGTGCCCATCCCTCCTCCCTGAGCACAGGCTGGGCCAGCTGCCTCCTCACCTGCCACCTGTCACCCACTGTGAACAATAGGGACTGTGGGGCTCACCCCAACACCCCGTCCAGGGCCTGCTGCTGGGCTTCTCTGTCCTGGGTCTCCCTGGCCGGCACCCCACCCCTCCACCCCCGCCTGGGCCCAGGGCAGAGGCCTCCTCTCTCGGCGGGATGCCCTGAGGGCCTCAGCCCAGGAACCCACCCAGCTCCCATTCCTGGGTCTGGGTCACCCTACAGCCTCTCCCCAGAGGCAGCAGGTGGCTCAGTGAGTGTGAGGACACAGAACCCTCCGAGGACAGGGTCCTGAGTGACTGAGTGACGGGAGGAACAGCAGGGGAAGAGGGGGGACTGGCTAAGCGCCATTGCCGCTGACTGCGCTCAGGTCCCAGCAGGGGACCCTGGCCTCTGCCCCACCCACCCCATCCCTGCGAGGCGTCCACACCACAAACCTGTGCCCCCTGCTCAGAGCGCTCCACAGTCCCCAGCCCTGAGCTCTCCCCGCTGGCAGCATCACCATCTGTCAGACTCTCAGGCTGTTCTGTGCCCCTGTATCCCGGCACCCAACTCCCCACACCACCCACCTCCCCACACTGCTGCCCCAGCCCACCAGGCCCCGCCGGCACCGCAGCTCGGTGACCCCGGACCTGCAGGCCCCTCGGGCAGGGCGGGTCTGGGGTGTTGGGTGCCATCCTTGCCCAGCTCAGGGCAGGGTCCAGCCTGAGCTGCCCTGGCCATTTGGGAGCAAACGGACCCCAAGCCCTGCTCGTGTTTAAGTGGCTGCTCCGACCTGGGCTCTGCTCTGAGGACGTGAGTGAGGCCGGGCAGGGCCACCACGGAACCGGAAGGCTGCCTGGAGGCGGCGGCTCCGGGGAGCCTGGCGGGAGCCCAGCTCCTCCAGGTCACGTGAGTGACGTGGGTGGGGCGTTGGGTCCTGCCCCCTCCCCATGCTCTCGCTGCAGAGTCCCGAGCGCAGGCAGAGCCCACCCTCCATGGCGTGGCCCTGGGGTCCAGCCCCACCAGGACCCCCTTTTCCCTCCCCCTGAGCCATTCGGGGGGTGTCTGCCTGCCTGTGGCCCCTGCTGAGCCAGGATCCTGTCTGAACCCTCCACCCACCCCCTTAAGGAGCCCAAAGGCGAGGGCCTGGCCCGCGGGTGTGGCTGCGCCGGTGTACCATCTGGACCTGGAGGGCCCGTCCACAGCGGGGGACCCCTGCAGGCAGCACCCCAGTGGCCCCCAACACCCTGGTCATCAGGCCACACTGGGGGAGGAGGCGGGAGGATGGGCGCCCCCTGGTGGCCATTATGGGCTGTAGCAGGGACCCGGAGCCCCAGAAAGGAGGGAAAAGGGGGTCCCTGGTGGGCTGGGGGAGCAGGATGGTGTGGGGAGCAGGGTGGTGTGACCCCCAATCCTGCCCCCCATTTGGCCTTCATCACCTTCAGAAATCCTAACACTAACAGCCTCTTCCTTCCACGTGCCCCTACCCCGCCAGGGTGACACAGCCAGCTGGGGCGGGCGGCTGCCCGCCTGGGTTTTCCCAGGGGATGTGGGCGGGGCCGGAGAGCATGTCTGTGGGAACAGGTGAGCCGCAAAGGGGCCGGCAGAGGGAGCCCTCCAGGGGCCGGGAGTGGGGGCTGTGTGCACTGAGCTGCGTGGCAGTGGGAGGAGTGGCCTGGTTGGGGCTTCCCCGTTCTACCCCAGGGCGGCCCTGCACAGCCAGGTATGGTGGCTCCTGCCCCTCCTCCCCCACTGAGCCGCCTTGGAGAGGGAGGGAGCTCTGGGTGCTCCCTGCCAGGCCTTCCTCTTGGTGACCTGCCCCTGGGGTCCTGAGTCCCTGGGGGTGGGGGTAGGGGTGGGCAGCCAGGCTCAGGTGCACACACACACACACACACACACACACACACCCCGCCCATTACTGGAAGCATAAGGAGGGTGCTGGACAGCGTGCTGGCCTCTCCCAGCCTCGGGTGCAGCCCAGAGCAGGGCAAGGTGGGCAGTCCAGCCCAGCGTGCCGGCTCCTGGCGGCCCTGCCTTCCTCCTGCTCCAGACCAGGGCCCGGTGCGGGTGGAGGGCCTGTCCCCGGAGCTGAGACCCTGAAAGTGTCCCCAGGTGCTCGGCCTCCTCAGCACGGAGTGCTGCTCCCTGAGGGCTGTCGGGGGGTGGAGGGGATGCGCTTAGAAAGCAGAGACAAGAAGGTGATGGTGGTGACGATGGGGAAACTGAGGCTCAGGAGGCCGACCTGCTCCAGTGCCAGGCTAGCTTGCAGGGCTGATTCCTGACCTCCCTGCTGACCCGCCGGGTGACCACAGGCCTCCTCACCCCCAGGTCCTGGCTCTGCGTCCGGGGGGCAGCCCGGCAGAGGGTGGAGTGACCGCCGTCCCG